GATGTAAGATTGCTTGAAGCCTAAATTCGGATGTATAGTTTAATGTAATAAAAGCTGGAAACGCTCTAAATAAGCTGAACACAAGCTTTGTTCTAAACAAGCTGAACACAAGCTTTGTTCTAAATAAGCTGAACACAAACGTTGCCCGAAATAAGCTGAACACAAACGCTTTTATGTACTCATTGCTAAGACACCAAATGGAGCTTAAACTAAACCTGAGAAAAGAAATAAAAATGATATCAAATAAGTTAAAATGAAGAGATTTCCAACAGGTTTTCGCGGGATTATATAACATATATTTACCCATGTTACTGAAAAATAAGTTACTTTTAAAAGTTTGCTTTAGATGATCTAATTAAATCATTTCTATATTATATCTATTATTGTTTTTCCTGGGAAAAAACTTACAGCTTACAGCCTTAACTCATTGCAATAATCCGCAAAACTTTAATTGCGATTAATCTCTAAAATCTTTGGTAATAAACTTTAATACAAACCTCCTCAATACTTAAACAATTAATAATTTTATATTTCATATTTGCTAACAGTTCGAATTAGCAATAGTATTTATTAAAAATAATGAATAAAAACACCTTTATCGAAGCCTTTACAGCGATGATTAAAACTATATTTTGAATTCAATTAAAAATATTTTCTTAAAAAATTTTAATGAAGAGCAAATTGATATCCTTGCAATATTCAATATCAAAAATAATAAAAAGTTAACTTGGATAATTCTTTACCGCTCTTGTAAATAAAATCTCAAAAAATTAAAAAGTAAATTATTTTTTTCTTCTTCTAATTTCATCGAAAAACAGACTTTGACGAAAAAAGGAAAAAAAATAACAACAACTTTAATTTGACGCCCATTACTTTGAAAGAAATAATCCTTCGAAAAGCCATTTTTCTTTAAGATTAGCATATAAATAAACGAAGACCCTCTAAATGTGAATGAAAAAAATCTAAAAACTTTCCTATTTAATAATTTTTTCCAAGAGATAAAACAATATGAACGCCTAATTAAATTTGGAAAACAAAACTGAGATTAATAATGAAAAGGGAGAAAAAACGTTCTTCCTTCCTGCAGACGATTTTAGTAAGAATCGAAGTTAAAAAGGGGGAAAAAATGGCGGTCGATAAAATAGTAATTATTAAGCCTTGCTCGAAATAATCTCTTAGTTGTCACATTGTTTTTCTGTTATCTATTTCAGATCCTTTCTTATATCGCGAGGAGAAAGGTGAAAGGGGAGGTTTTTAATTAAAGGCAACTAAGCGCGATTCTTCCATTTTATTTCTCCATTAACATTAGATTAAAAATCATTCCAATGGCAAAGTATTGAATAACCAATTAGTTTTCAAAATGTGAATTAATATGTTTTAGATATTTATTCTAAAGTATAGCCTCTTGGAAGTATTTTTTATTTGTGATTCTCTCTAGTTACAAGTAACGAAATAACATCGGTGGTAGAACAAAAAGTCCTGAAAAAAAATAACGTGCCTTTTCTTTTAAAGAGTTTTATTGATTTAAAACATTAATTTTGTTTTGGATGATGCAATAATTGTTTTTAATAACGTTATTTACTGCAAATAGCAAAAAGTGCTGGAAAATTCCTAATCCTGAAACAGATTGTTTTACTGGACGTTTTTAAAACTTCAATTTTTTTAGAACTGTCTATTCTTAAAGCAATGGGTTCTTATTTCAAAAATAAGTTTTAAAAAAATATATGCTTAAAAGTTAAATGCTTATTAGCAAGCTTTACACATATCTTGATCTTAATATACACAAATAAAGTTTGTTTTTCATCAAAAATAATTAATTTTTCTAAAGTTTGAATAATTAGTCTTTTCTTCAAAGAATGACTTTCTTTTTTCCAAACATACCTTTTGTGGTATTAAAAATTAATAAAAAATTTAAGGAATAAAAAGATAAAATATTGCAAAAAATTATTGTTGGAAAATAAATAAAACCAAAACCTAATTATTAGAAAATTTAGTTATTTGATTATATAATGGGTTTACTGTTTGAAAATAAATTAAATTTAGAGCTACTTGCATTTCAAACAAGTAACATCCTTTGGAAAATATTTTATAATCTGCTTAATTTATTAAGAAATAGCTTATTTAAATATCTTTTTCTACTGCATATTTTTTATTTAATTATTTAATCATTAGATAAGTTGTTTTTTTCTTAGCATTGAGATGTTATAAATGTTAAACATGAAACTTATGTCCTTAATTTTAATCTCTACTTATAATAATGCGGATTAAAAGAATTTAATTTTAAACAATATTATCAATTTTTAAGCATTGCCGCCACATATTGTTTTATTTTAACCATTTTTCTCTCTTTGGATTGTATTTACCCTTAAATTTAAATAGTTAATAAAGTTATGGAAAAAATTTGCTATTGTTTTTTAAAATGAGCTAATTTTAATCATCAAAAGATTAGATTTCTTGTAAATATTATTGCAATATATTGTTTAAAAAATGTTTAATGTATTGTTTTAAGTTTAAGTCAAACAAAGGCATTAAATTATAAGTCCCCCCCCCACACAGTTTTAAATAATTTTTACTTATTTCTTAGTTTATAATGTAAATAAAATTTTATTTCGGGCTACAGATTTTCACGATACACAAAGCATACTTATTACATTCATTTTATGTTTTCCTTCTATTGCTAAAATTTCATCTCACCAAATTGGCATCTATTATTAGAGATTTGTATTTTGACTTTGTTTTCCTTTAGCAATGGTCCATTTTTTTTAAAGTTTTCTCTTATAAATTACACTTTTGGTCGTTTATAGTTATATGATTAGTTTTATAATAATGTTATACATTTAAAATATTCTAATGAGAATATTGTAACAAAAATATGTTGACATAGAAAAAAGTTAGATGATGAATTTTGATACACAATGAGCCAACCCTAATAATATATTCGTTTCTAAGCTTCTTCAGCCTTCTAATTTTATTGAATGGATTACGAAAAAGTTACCTTTTTTGTGCATAATAAAAAGTAACTATTTAAAAGTAACCAAATCATACATTTAAAATTTTCTAAAGAAAATATTGTAAAAAAATGTGTTGGCATAGGAAAAAGTCAGATAAGGAATTGTGATACGTAATGAGCCAACCCTGATAATATATTTTGTTTTTAATCTTCTTCAAAATTCTAATTCTACTGAATGATTACAAAATCGGTTGCTCTTTTATATCAGAAAATTTTTCGATTGTAAAAATCATGAATCATGATTGTGAAAATCAAGAATTTGATGATGATGAAAAGATTAAGTAATAAAGTAATAAATAAAATGTTTAAAAATCTATTGCAAATGTACTGCAAAATGGATAATTAAAAAAATTATAATTTCAATTTAAATTATTAATAATCAATCAAAATAGAAGAAAATAAAAACATTTTAATAAATTAAAATTTTGGAATAAATAAAACATTTAAATGCTGAAATGAAATAAACGAAAGAAAATTTCGATGACTTTGCGATGAGTGATTCATTGGAAATCTTTAGAAGGAATAACCCTAAAAAATACCAACCAGAAACCTTCCCCTACTCATGTCTCTAAATATTTATAAATGTCACTGTATATCAAAAAAGATAATTCACTGTTTGGGGCAATTTAAAGACAATTAAATTAGATGGCACCTTTACGATGAGTAATCCGTTAGAACTGTTTAGAAGGAATAACCCCAAAAAATACCAACCAGAGTCCTTCCCCTATTCATGTCTCTAAATATTTATAAATGTCACTGTATATCAAAAAAGATAATTCTCTGTTAGGGGCAATTTAAAGACAATTAAATCAGATGGCACTTTTACAATGAGTGATCCATTATAAATCTTCAGAAGGAATAAACCCCAAAAATACCAACCAGAGTCCTTCCCCTTTTCGTATCTCTAACTGTTTATAAATATGACTGTATATCACAGACAGATAATTCTCTGTTTAGGGCAATTTAAAGACAATGAAATTAGATGGCACCTGTACGATGAGTAATCCATTAGAACTCTTTAGAACTCTTTGGAAGGAATAACCCCAAAAAATACCAACCAGAGTCCTTCCCCTTTTCGCATCTCTAACTGTTTATGAATATCACTGTATATGACAGACAAATAATTCTCTCTTTGGGGCAATTTAAAGGCAATTAAATTAGACAAGGAATTGGTTCGGCTTCTGAGCACCGGATCATAAGTGAGATAAGGGAGCAAAGAACAGTTTCCTATAGTATAAAATGGACATTTTTTTCCTGGGGGGGGGGTCAAAATGACTTCTTGGAAGGTGAGGGATGCTTAATAATCAGTTTTCATTTGTGAAGAGCTGTTATTGCTTTTTTGAAAGAAGGCCAGTAGGATCCCAAAAAAGCGATTATTTAGTCTTTTAAAACACTATTTTACACAACGTTTTTCCCTTGATCTCTTAATAACAAATTTAAGTGTTTAGGAAATAAAACAAAGATAATTTTTCCCAAAACTAAATGGCTTTAGCTTCTTAACTATTTAAAGAAACTGGACTCTCAAGGGGCAAGTTTTCCTATTCATGCAACGCGAAGACGGGTTAGTTCCAACAAAAAGTCCTCCACAAGGCTAGTTTGTCCCAACGCTTGATCCAAGATTTCTCTTATCCTCGGGACTGAGTTGAAAATTACAAGGCTACGGAACATTGATAGTAGTCAACTTAGAACTGAGTCGGATGTTCAACACCGATTAAAAAATTAAATACATCACTCACTTATGCCATCCAATGACATTCTATCTCTGCTTCTACTAAAGCTACCGGTCGTAGGTTACTTGTAACTCACTAGCCTTTTGAGACTCCCTACTTCTCGTAAACATTTGACACAACATTTTTTGAACATCCTGTACAGTGCGCATTATTTTAATTTATTCTCATAAATTTTGAAATAAGCATGTTTCTAATCAAAATGGTGGTGATATCTGGTATTGGTTTGAATCACTACAAACTAATTTTTTTTTCCTCTTCAGGTGTGCTGACGTTACAGATCAAAGCATTACAAGTACCAGAGAGTATCGAGGCTGGTCAAGTGGTCCGACTCGTTTGTGTTTTTGACGCAGAGCAAGAAGATCTTTACTCAGTCAAGTGGTACAAAGACGATATAGAATTCTTTCGTTTCCTACCTAAAGACAAGCCAGCCAATCAGTTTTTCGAAATAAGAGACGTCGATGTAGATGTAAGTTCACTCAGTCATTTTTTGAATTATATATAGAGGGTGTTCCGTTATAACAACTATTAATATACATTTTTAAAAATCACTGTCAAAAATGAAGTTCAGAAAGTACACACATTGAAGGAAGAATTTTTTTTTTTGTTATCTCAATGTAAAATTGCAATCAAGGTAAATTTGCTTAAAAATACTTTAATACAGGGGATTTTGAACTATATCAGATCGGAATTTATAAAACGACAGAAAATAGATCAAAGGGAGACGAAGAAATAGCCGAAAACAGGATTTCTTAGCATTATCGGGATTTAAAAAACAAAAAATTCATTTCAAACATATCTCTTATAAATCCGTGCACTGGAAAGTTAATTCCATTTCTAAAAGGAAAAGTAGTTACCGTGGCTAATTTAGATTGATCATGCATAAATATATCAATAAAACGGATTATCACTCATTGTAGTTTGCATAATTGAATATTTACCTATGCGTCGCTAAAATAAAGATGGAAAGCAATCGTGAGTATCAAACGAAACAAATAACCATAATTATTGCGTACAAATTTTCAAGTTACCATCGAAATATCTTAAACTATTAAAAAAATTTTAAAAGCTGAACTACTTTTCAAAAATATTTCCTCGCGATCAAACATAATAGCATTTTTGAACTATTAAAACAACCAATAAAAAACGCAGAACTTTACAATATAATATTATTTATGTAACTAAATTGAAAATCGAGATTAAGACTTTTAAGTATAGTTTTTTTTTTTCCAAAAAATGCATATTTGTCGAAGCAGGATAATTAATTTAGATATAATTAGCTATACATATAACTTATTAATAACTTGACGTGATCTTAAAAATGAACTTGAGATAATAAATTTTAAAAAAATGGAAAGAAAAGTAAAGCTTTTATCTTTAATTTATTCATGCTTTAAAAATAAAGAGTTCTGATATCTGTAAAAGTAATTATGATTGATGACTTAGTTATTGAGAATAAATTTTAAAGAATATATTATCTCCTTCCTTTTTAAAGCCAAAAACACTTCAAAAATAATTTTTCAATATGTTTTCTATAATAACTAAATTAAATTGAAAGTACAAATTTTTATCTAAAAGAAATTTTTACCAAATGCTGTCAACGAATCAAGGCAATAAAAATATTTATTACATACTTAACCATATTTTCGTACATCATATTTTCAAATAAATAATATGAGGTTAAGAACATTTTACAGAAAAAATAATTTATATTTATTATAGAAACACCAAAACATTTTTTACTAATTTTGATTCAGTAGTATTGTCTAAACTGTAATTTTAGGGCATTTCATGTATTATATATGCATTATATATTTTACTGTTTTGAATGATTTCACATATTTGATGAATACATATTTTTGAATGCTGCAAAGTTTTTCGATTACAGTTTTTAGTTTAGGTTCTAGTTATACGTACTTTACTACTTCTAGTTTTAATAACTTCTTTAAATAACTCGAAACTACATTTCTTAAGCAAATATAGATAATTTTTAAACTTGATTTTTAAATAATGAATTGTTTACTTTTGTAAAACGATTTAGCATTATTTTATCAAATATTTCATATAGTTTTAAAACATATTTCATATGCCTCAGTAAAAAGTAAATAGAAAATAAATGATTTTCTTTAGCTTATGATCTAAACAGTGAAGCCGATACCTTATGATAGTTTTTTATTATTTTCAGTGCAAATATTTTATAAGCTAGTTTTAAATTTTCAGTGATTCATTTATATGATTTAAATTAAGTACAAGATTTATACAAAAAATCAAGTTATTTAGAACGTTTTCCCATGTTTCTTATCACTAGTTCTGTCTTAAATAACTCAATAATAAAAATAAAAAGTAAACCTTTTGTAAACTTAGGACCTTTGAGCCTTTCTTCATTTTCAATGCAAGTATGTTGTAAGTCAATTTTATTTAATGCTTTATTATAAAGTTCAAACTAGATGCAATATTGATCTATAAATTAACTGCACACATCAAGAAATATTTAATTTTTTGTTTCAAAATCTTTTCTATTTACTTTTTGATTTGAGATTGAATTAATTGCAGAGTTTAATAACACATCGACTAGAATCAGCTATACTGGAAGCAAGTTCAAACTACATTGTGGTGTACTCACACATTGTACAAACATGTTATACAAAGGACTCCCGTGGTTGAGGCTGAGGTATTGCAGAGTTTAATAACACATCGACTAGAATCAGCTATACTGGAACCAAGTTCAAACTACATTGTGGTGTACTCACACGTTGTACGAACATGTTGTACAAAGGACTCCCGTGGTTGCCCAGTAGTTCGTTCCCCGACACCGCTAAGACCAACCAAGTACATGCGATATACGTACTCGGAATCGTGTGGAATCGAAAGTCCTATGATCGATCGCGGAGAAGTGCCATGGGTGCAGGGATCTGGAGAAACTTTCTTTCCCATTTAAATCTAAGTCTAAATTGAGGAAGTGGCGTCACGAATAAGTGGTGCTGCCATCTGTCAGTGGGATCCTGAGTTGGGACGTACTTTCACCCTTACGGTGCACTCATATCAAAAGAAAGATAATATTCCTGACTTAATTCACAAAAAGTCAATGACTGGCGAGCTTGGCTTGCACAAGTGTCATTAGCTTGCCCAAGTGTCATTAGTGTCAACGTGTTGTACAACCTGAATTTGACAAAAAATTCAAAAATGCGAGATGTTCATCCAGGTGTTTTTGAGGTCGTGGAACCTATCTAATAACTCCAAACTCAATCACCACCCTAAACTCGGGCTAACCTCCTTCTGAGTCACTCCTGCAGTTAGACGACGATAGTCGAGTTTGTCACTAAATAGGGTTTTTTTTTTAAATATCAGACATGTTTAAGAAACTTTTTTTTTAATTTCTTGAGATATCTTAATTCTAAACAATTCAAAATCTATTTTTCTCTTGCGATTACAGCACCATCTGTGTACCGAAATTACAAAAACCTGCAGATTAAATTGGGGTACTTTTTCAAAAAAAATCCAAATCTAAAATAAAAAAGGGGGTTCTAATGACGTATTTTCAAGTGATACCCTCAACATACCCAAGGGACGGGGTTGAGAAGTCGAGATTGATATCTCGATTTCTCAACCCCGTAATAGACAACAATTATAAACATATTTTACTTTTGTACTTTTTGCTTTTATCAGGTTGCGTATTTTAAAAGATATTTGGTGGTTTCCATAAACTTTAAAACAAACTGTCTTATTTTATTGTTTATGCTTTTTTTTATCTTTTTAAAGCACTTTAACCTTATTAGAAACCATAGAAGTCCCACCTATTTCACTACTTTTTTAAATTTCGATGGGAAACTGTTATCCCACCTATGATTTGTTCGGATATTTGCTCACAACTTCAGAATAACAAACAAATACCAGAACGGTTTTGTTTACATAAACATGAGTAACAGTACGTGTTTGCATGAGATCAAGAAGAGATGTTAACACTGAGGAGATATCTCTTTCTCGTTTCGCATTCGGACACTTGATCATATCTTCCAAAGTTTATTTGTAGTTACACAAAATTTATAGATTCAAGTTTATGGCAAATTCATTACAGTAGGTTAAATTTTGTAAATTCCGCCCACCAAAAAAATGGTCATAGAAAAACAAATTAATTTCGAGTTATTAAAGGATTGAATTTCTTTTTATAAATCAATCTCAATTCTAAAAACATTTTAACATAACATTCTAGACAGAAAAAATGACTCTAAAAGTGTTAAAACGTAGATATTTCATTATTTTTGAGAATTCTTTTAGTTAATATCCAAAAATTTATGTGTATATAAATTTCTTACAGATTAGCCGATCATCAAATGGAACAGTATTTCTAAAGAACACCAGTAACATGACCGAAGGAACTTACATTCTAATTTTTAAGAAAATTCATTAAAATTTTAAAAACGCAGATGTTTTATCCTTTTGGGATTCAGCATTTATAAAGAACATCTTTTATCAGCCGAAAGAACTTACATTGTCGACAAAAACAAATGGCCCTTAAAATGTTAAAAACGTACATATTTTATCCTTTCGGGGAATTATTTTAGTTTATATTCAAAAGTTGATGTGTATATACATTTCTTACAGATGAGCCGATCATCAAACGGAACAGTATTTCTAAAGAACACCAGTAGATCAGCCGAAGGAACTTACAGGTGCGAAGTTTCCGCAGATGCTCCCTCGTTCCAGTCCATATTTTCAGAAAAATTCATGGCCGTCGAAGGTAATATTTAGTTTTCTTTTTCACTACTTTGCTTTTTCATTGTATCGCGCAAGAATTTTTCAAATCACAAATAAACTTCCTACTTTAGAAGAGCAATTTATTTAAGCTTCGATACTGCAACATTCATTAGCAGTATTTCTAAACACTCATGTGTTGAAGCTAAAGTAATTTCAACATCAATATTATACAAGTCTAGCAGCACTTCCCATATTCAAGACACTTGTACGTATGTATGCATCTGACATTGAAATAATGTTTGTTTTTTTCTCGTTGAATGTATTGAGATTGAAGTCGATAGGCCTAGTAAATAGATTGATAAAATGTGCATTCAATAAATCATACACACACTGAAGAGTGACAAATATTATTTTTTACGTAAAAGCTACGCGATGTGTTATTTTCGTTTAATTAAATGCAGAATTTAGTAGCACAAAAATTAGAGACGACTATACTGTGATAAATATATTGCATTGTAAACTTCGTCTGAATTAAAAAGAAAAAGAAAAAGAAAATGAAAAAGAAACAAACAAAAATAAAAAGAAAGATCAAGTGCGTTTGGCCTTTCAAAGAAAAACAAACCCCAGAGGTTTTGCTTAAAAAGAAAAATATATGACATCAATACAATATGAAAAACTGCAGCATTAATGAGGAAAAACCACAGTAAAATTTTCAAACACGCGGGTTTTTTCATTTCAATATTCAAAAAGTATAAGTCGAAATTTTACATAAACCAGAAATGTGCAGCAAATTTTTCGAATACTGGTGACGTAAATTTTAAACAGTGTTTTCTCAAAACAAAAATTTTCATTCTCAAAACTATGATTAATTCTCTAATTTTATAAATTTGGCAAATTATTTGAATGTATCTTTTAGCAATCCTATAGTTTAAAATAGGGTACTTTCAAAATAATCAATGATTTGAAAAATCGATTAAGAAATTGGAATCGAACTGTACATTTAACTAAGTTTTGCTCTTTGAAGCCTATATTTTTATTCTGCACAAGTTTCGAAAATAGTTACGAAGTTAATCAACAGATGGTATTGCTAACTCAAGAAAAAACTATAAAACTACAAGTCAGATCATTAAATATTTTCTCATGCCTCTTTTCTTTTTTTTAAAGATTAAACCTTGTTGCTTAATGCAAAAAGTGATTAAAACTATAAAACATTGTTTAGTAGTTTTAAGTTTGCAGCAACATCACTTAACAAACTTAGTAACTCTTTTTGAAACTATGGTGGATAAATTTCCTGAGAAGAACGCATCAAATCATACTTTTTTTTAAGTTATCGGTCATATTAGGGACTTTGGAAATAAGTCCTAATCGACATAATAAAAAAATTTAACTTTGTAAATTTTAAAAAAACAATTCTTCACTACTTCTTAAAGTTTGAAATAATCTAATAAAAAATTGCGAAACATTCTTTTTTCAATTTATGCTATTTTCGAAATTGCTGAAACATAACAATTTTATGACAGTGATACATTATAACTCTTTCAAATTTAGAGCAAATCTTATATAAATATTTGCCACTGAAAGCTACTGCCTTCTTAGAGAATTATTAAAATTTCAACTTCCACAGTCATGAATAAAAAAAGAAAATAATAGTTTAAACAACCATCAAATTCATTAAAAAAAAAGTTTATACTTCGTCAAATCAAATAAAAGTTTCCCTAAAATTAATTAAACAATCATTTATTTGTACCTTTTTCTAAATTTTTAAATCAAACTAAAGAAGCCAAATTTGAATTTCATTGTAAAAATAAGGAAATAAAAAATTAGGAATCCATAACAGTAAGGTCAATATAAAATGTTTGAAACAACTCTGGGGAATAATAGCTATGAAACTGAAACGTTCTTCTTGACGTAAAAAAAAAGAAAACATTTATCTTTAGCTTTCTGCCATTGAGATATAAGAACTTCACAACTTTTATCATGCTTGACGAAAGTAGTCAAACACTCCAAAAGAATGAAGTCGAATTTTTTGACACAAATCGCTAGGGTTTCGTTGATCTCTATAGGTTTTCTGTAAGAAGCATGGTGATTATGAATAGTAAGAACTGAACGCTAACCACGTACACTGAATAATTATGTGAAAAATACTCAAAACTATTCATACTAAAAAAAGTATTTAAAAATATTTTAATTTTTATAAAATCTTGCGAATTATTTGAATGAAGTGTGAAGAGCATGTGAATTGTGTAAAGAACATGTGAATCATTTGAACCTGAGAAGAACGTAGCAAATCTTAATTTTTTTTGTTTTTTCCTCTATTTTTTTTAAATTATCTGTCATTTTTAGGACAACGGAAGTGAGTCCCAATCGCAAACAATGAAACTGCTCAGTAAATTTTTTTTTAAAAATCTTTACCGTTTCTCAGCCTTTGCAATAATCTAAAAAAAAAATTGCTAAACTATTTTTTTAAATTCACGCTACTTTTGAAAAGCTGAACACATCAATAGCTTTGTGACAATAATACGTTATAGCGTTTTAAAATTTAAAACTAGCCTTACATATATCTTTGCAATCGAAAGCTTATGAATTCTTAGAAAATTTATTTAAATTTCTTCCACATTGATGACCTTAAAAAAAAGACAGCTTAAATCGTCATGGAACACATTTTAAATGAATTAATAGTTCTTCAAATAAATATTTTTAAGTTAAAAATGCCTCGATTAAGTTTACCTAAAGGCAATAAATAATATCTTTTTCATACTGTTAAACTCTAAAAATAACTAATAATAATTTTCTCAATTTTATTTTATTGCTTACCACCAAAAGTGCCAATTACGGAATATTTTATCTCAGCTTAAAATTAAACTGAAATATTTTTAAATACTTTTTATTCGATTTACATTGAACCAAGTTAATAGTTAAGCAGCAAATATAGTTACACAATGTGATACTATGGTTTGACATCAAACTATAGATTCACATTTCGTAACTATTAGAATCACATTGCGTATAGTTTGACATCAAAGTGTTGATTATAAATTGCAAAGTGGTTTAAAAATTTATTTTTAAAAATAGAAGGAACAAGTGGCACAAAGTACCCAATAATTATATACTGTAATTTATTAACATATTAATCGCAAAAGGTTTGTTATTTCTGGTATAGATTAACAGATTACTAATTGGAAAATTAAAAACTGATTAGATTAGTAAATGAGTTTTTATGGTTTAAAAAATTAAATTACATAATTATATTTTAAATTATATGTGCATTTTTAGAGTAGCTCAAAAATATTTTAAACTTTTCAAACAAGGATAAAATCTGTAATTTTGCTTTTTTTTCCCCAAAAAAAGTAAGTTTATTTTTAAAATATCTTTTTTAACTACCTCAACCACAAATTTATTTTCGAATTCTGTTCTCTTTATTTGACGATTATTAAAACTAAAAAAAAGTATTTAAGTAAACCAAAAAAAATCGAAAGAAAATATTGAAAAATAAGGTATATTCATGTATTTTGAAAAAGAAAGTCCGTAAAGCTGTATCAGTCGATCTGGAAAGAAAACATTTACTAGAAAAATATCCCCACGATACAATATTTCCTATACTAATGATCCGAGAAAACTAAAAAAACTTTCAGGAACGGTAAAATTCGACTTTTCATTTTCGTTTGTAGAATTTTGAGTTCGTATATCGCCAAATAAAAGTGCAGAAAATATTTATCTAAACAAAAATTATATTTTGAGTTTTGCTTACCATAATGTATATACTGATAAGTTTTAAAACACAAATATGACATTACATGGCATATGCATAATAATTATTTTGAAATTTGTCTTATATGTCAAGTTGAGCCAATAACGTTATTTTAATATGTTTTATGCGTCATTGTAACATAAAAACATTTGTCCTGGAATAAAAACAATTGCAGTTTTATAAGAACATTTGTAATAGTACAAAACAATAGCAGAATCATAAAAATAACTGAATTTTTTTAAAAACAAATGTGGTATTATGAGAAATTTTAAATTGAGGAAATCCCACAACAGCTAGTTTGTTGACCAAAAACATAATTTTGGGACAATTGATATAATGGCTGCAATGGGCTATCATCTTGGTGGACTTCGAGCTACTACCAGGGACAGAACTCTAATTGTATTACAAAGGCAATTTTAATACTACATTAAAATTTGCAATACAAGAAAAATAATAATATTGAAATAGCTCCACAATTGTAGTTAGCAACATGAAGAAAAAAATTTACTGATTTTTTGACCAAACTATTAAGAGCACAGAGTTAAGAGCTCAGTTACATCCCATGTTTTTAAGATCAGTTTTGATTTTTGAAAAGTTTTGATATTCTATAAAAAAAAATTACACCATATACTTTGAAATTATTTCGTTGCGATATTAAAAAATATATATTAAAATATAATAAATAATTATTAAAAGTTTTTGGCATCAAATTATGTTTAAATGAACAATTATAAACGGGCGAAAAAATATTCCAATTCAAACAAATCTGGAGATATGATAAAAAAAAAAAGCGGCAACAGTAAGGAGTAACTTTAGGAGCAAAAGATTTTGACGAGCCTACTAATCAAAATAATCTTGTCTCTGTTTTCAAATTCTGCAACAATCATCCTTTTATATTTCAAAAATATATAAACTATTAACTGTAAGATTCTGTTTACCAGGTAAGATTACGGATTGATTTCGCAACTCTATTTAGTTAACCCTAATTAGCATCTTTAAAGTTTATGATAACTATTTAACGTGTAAATCTGATCATTAGTTCAAATTCCCAGCAATGTGAGTTATTAATCTTTATCTTTATCTATTGCCAGGTGTTGGTCTACTAATTCTAATGGTGATTTAATAATGAAAAATAAAGGGCTAGAAATTTTAAAGTATATTAAACTAGACCTGAAAATATACATTTTCATTTCGTAGCCAGTGGCTGGAAGATTCTAATGACTTAGTAGATGCTTTTTCTTCAAACTTAATGAGCCAATCACAGATATGGATAGATCCTTTTCGTTTAATAGCCA